GCCCTGTAACGGTCACTAATGTCCACTCTCTGTCCTCTGTAGACCTGGCCCTGTAACGGTCACTAATGTCCACTCTCTGTCCTCTGTAGACCTGGCCCTGTAACGGTCACTAATGTCCACTCTCTGTCCTCTGTAGACCTGGCCTTGTAACGGTCACTAATGTCCACTCTCTGTCCTCTGTAGACCTGGCCCTGTAACGGTCACTAATGTCCACTCTCTGTCCTCTGTAGACCTGGCCCTGTAACGGTCACTAATGCTTCGCAGCCACTGGCAGTCTAGTTAGAGGAGAGACCCGGCTGGGGCCCTGTCATGAAGCCACCTGTGCCATTCCCTTAGTGATAACACAAAGAATACATTACAGAAAGACATCTGGAGTTAATCAGTCTAATCTGGAAAATCTAATTCTTGTTCCGTGTAAGAATCAGCTGACCACAACCGCTGATACTGAAACTTTGAAACTTGCTATGCTTAATGTCAGATCTCTTTCTAACAAGTCTTTTTTAATCAATAATTTTATTTCTTCTCATAATCTTGATCTTATGTTCATGGCTGAAACATGGCTTGACCAAAATACAGAAAATGCAGTTTTAATAGAAGCATCACCACCAAATTTCAAATTTGAATCTGAAATACGGGAAAACAAAAAAGGAGGAGGCTTAGCTGCCATTTTCAGAGACCACTTTGTCTCCCATAGAATGTCTCTTGGGAAGTTTTTGTCATTTGAATATGTGTCTTTTAAAATACAACAAAAACAATCTCCTCCAATACTCTTCATAGTTCTATACAAGCCACCGCAGTCATGTCACAGTTTTATTGATAATTTTACCGAGTTGCTTTCAGTTGTATGCACAGATTTTGATAGTTTGGTTATTACAGGGGATTTTAATATTCATGTGGATAATGTTGATGACAGAAATGCAAATGAGCTGAGTTCTGTACTTGAATCCTTTGATCTCACTCAGCACGTAAGTGGCCCCACCCACAGCAGAGGGCACACTCTAGATCTGTTAGTTACAAAGGGGGTGATTATTTCAAATGTAAACGTGGTCGATGTTGCTCTTTCGGATCATTTCTGTGTATTTTTTGACATGTGTTTCACTAACAAACCATCAGTGGACTCTGCAACTGTACGAAGAAGACACATAAATGAAAATACGGGTGAACTATTTATGGGAATGATAAACTTTGAGAATGCATCGTATTCTACTGTAGATGAACTGTTTAACTCTGTCACCTCTAGTGTTTTGAATGTTCTGGATACCGTTGCCCCTGTGAAGGTTAAAATAGTGAAAAATAGGCAGAAGGCGCCGTGGGCTAAAGCAGACTCTGTCAGGGCACAAAATAGAGAGTGCCGGAGGGCCGAGCGGAAGTGGCGCAAGTCCAACCTCCAGGTTGATTACGAGATCTTCAAAGATAAGTTGTGCGAGTTTAACCGGGTGCTACGTAGTACGAGAGAAAGGTATTTCTCTGAAATGATTGAAGGCTGCAGCAACAATCTGCGTGTTCTGTTTTCAACAGTTAATAGATTAACAAACCCCCCTGTTCAGATGCCATTAGAGCTAACTTCCAAACGTAAATATAATGAGTTTGCACATTTTTTCAATGACAAGGTTCAAGGCATCAAAAACGCCATTGTCTCCAATCCACAGATAACCATCCAACAGCCAGAAAGGCTCTCTGAGCTAACTTACTTTGCACCTGTAAATGATCAAACTGTCCAAGAGATAATCTCCAGTCTGAGCGCCTCCACATGTAGCCTGGATGTACTACCCACTAGATTTCTGAAGTCTGTTCTGAGCAGTCTGTTACCTTCACTCACACAGATAGTAAACATGTCCCTTGATTCTGGAATATTCCCAAAGGCCCTGAAAACTGCAGTCATCAGGCCCCTGCTTAAAAAGAGCAGTCTAGATGCTACGGTACTTAACAACTATCGTCCCATCTCAAATCTGCCATTTATGGGGAAAGTCCTTGAAAAAGTTGTCTACCAACAGCTAAATAGATTTCTTATAATCAACAACTCATTTGATATGTTTCAGTCCGGCTTTAGACCCCACCACAGCACTGAGACTGCTCTCGTCAAGGTTACAAACGATATCCGGCTAAACACTGACGCAGGCAAAGTCTCAATCCTAATCCTGTTAGATCTGAGTGCTGCCTTTGACACTGCCGACCATGAGATCCTCTTACAGAGACTAGAGGACTGGGTTGGCGTCGCTGGCACCGCCCTAAGTTGGTTTAGGTCTTACCTTGAAGACAGGAAGTACTTTGTGGAGATTGGAAACTGTGTCTCAGATCATATGGCCCTGACCTGTGGAGTCCCACAGGGGTCGATCCTGGGACCTCTTCTGTTCAATCTCTACATGCTGCCGTTAGGTCAGTTAATACGCAGAAACAAAGTGTCCTATCATAACTATGCAGACGACACTCAGATCTATGTCTCACTGACTGCAGGAGAACATGGACCAGTGGACTCACTCCTTCACTGTATCCAACAGATCAGTGAGTGGATGCAAAACAACTTCCTTCAGCTAAACGCAGACAAAACTGAAATGATTGTCTTTGGTCCCCAGAAACAAAGAGAGAGCGTCATCTGTCACCTACAGTCTCTCTCCCTAAAACCTTCAAACAAGGTCAGAAATCTAGGGGTAATACTGGACTCAGACTTAAATTTTAATAGCCACATCAAATCAGTAACATCAGCAGCTTTTTACCATCTAAAAAACATTGCCAGGATCAAAAACATAGTGTCTAAAGCAGACTTGGAGATTCTTATCCATGCATTTGTCTCCAGTAGGTTAGACTACTGCAATGGCCTGCTCACAGGTCTGTCCAAACAGGCTGTAAAACAGCTGCAGTACATCCAAAATGCAGCAGCTCCAGTCCTGACTAGAACCAGGAAGTACGACCACATTAGTCCTGACTAGAACCAGGAAGTACGACCACATTAGTCCTGACTAGAACCAGGAAGTACGACCATATTAGTCCTGACTAGAACCAGGAAGTACGACCACATTAGTCCTGACTAGAACCAGGAAGTACGACCACATTAGTCCTGACTAGAACCAGGAAGTACGACCATATTAGTCCTGACTAGAACCAGGAAGTACGACCACATTAGTCCTGACTAGAACCAGGAAGTACGACCACATTAGTCCTGACTAGAACCAGGAAGTACGACCACATTAGTTCGGTCCTCAGGTCTCTGCACTGGCTTCCTGTGGCTCAGAGAATAGACTTTAAAACAGCTCTGCTTGTTACAAGTCTCTCCATGGCCTCGCACCAAAATATATTAGTGACATGTTAGTCCCATATGAACCAGCCCGGACTCTGAGGAGCACAGGGACTGGACTCCTGCTGGGACTCTGAGGAGCACAGGGACTGGACTCCTGCTGGGACTCTGAGGAGCACAGGGACTGGACTCCTGCTGGGACTCTGAGGAGCACAGGGACTGGACTCCTGCTGGGACTCTGAGGAGCACAGGGACTGGACTCTGGCTGGGACTCTGAGGAGCACAGGGACTGGACTCCTGCTGGGACTCTGAGGAGCACAGGGACTGGACTCTTGCTGGGACTCTGAGGAGCACAGGGACTGGACTCCTGCTGGGACTCTGAGGAGCACAGGGACTGGACTCCTGTTAGTGCCCAGAGTCAGAACTAAACATGGGGAGGCTGCTTTCAGATTCATGCTGCTAAAATCTGGAACAGTCTTCCTGAAGATGTGAGACAGGCCTCCTCTCTGACAATGTTTAAAACCAGGTTAAAGACAGTTCTGTTTAGCTGTGCATACAACTGAGGGATTTTATATTTTTATCTTTCTTTTTAATGTTCTGTGATTATTTATGATTTTAATGCTATCTTGTTCAGCACTTTGAGTTGCCTTGTGTATGAATTGTGCTATATAAATAAACATGCCTTGCCTTGCCTAATGTCCACTCTCTGTCCTCTGTAGACCTGGCCCTGTAACGGTCACTAATGTCCACTCTCTGTCCTCTGTAGACCTGGCCTTGTAACGGTCACTAATGTCCACTCTCTGTCCTCTGTAGACCTGGCCCTGTAACGGTCACTAATGTCCACTCTCTGTCCTCTGTAGACCTGGCCTTGTAACGGTCACTAATGTCCACTCTCTGTCCTCTGTAGACCTGGCCTTGTAACGGTCACTAATGTCCACTCTCTGTCCTCTGTAGACCTGGCCTTGTAACGGTCACTAATGTCCACTCTCTGTCCTCTGTAGACCTGGCCTTGTAACGTCACTAGATGTTGTCCACTCCACTCTGTCCTCTGTAGACCTGGCCTTGTAACGGTCACTAATGTCCACTCTCTGTCCTCTGTAGACCTGGCCCTGTAACGGTCACTAATGTCCACTCTCTGTCCTCTGTAGACCTGGCCCTGTAACGGTCACTAATGTCCACTCTCTGTCCTCTGTAGACCTGGCCCTGTAACGGTCACTAATGTCCACTCTCTGTCCTCTGTAGACCTGGCCTTGTAACGGTTTGTCACTAATGTCCACTCTCTGTCCTCTGTAGACCTGGCCTTGGAGAACGTTGTCACTAATGTCCACTCTCTGTCCTCTGTAGACCTGGCCTTGTAACGGTCACTAATGTCCACTCTCTGTCCTCTGTAGACCTGGCCCTGTAACGGTCACTAAATGTCCACTCTCTGTCCTCTGTAGACCTGGCCTTGTAACGGTCACTAATGTCCACTCTCTGTCCTCTGTAGACCTGGCCCTGTAACGGTCACTAATGTCCACTCTCTGTCCTCTGTAGACCTGGCCTTGTAACGGTCACTAATGTCCACTCTCTGTCCTCTGTAGACCTGGCCCTGTAACGGTCACTAATGTCCACTCTCTGTCCTCTGTAGACCTGGCCCTGTAACGGTCACTAATGTCCACTCTCTGTCCTCTGTAGACCTGGCCCTGTAACGGTCACTAATGTCCACTCTCTGTCCTCTGTAGACCTGGCCTTGTAACGGTCACTAATGTCCACTCTCTGTCCTCTGTAGACCTGGCCTTGGAGAGAGCCATGTTTGTCACTAATGTCCACTCTCTGTCCTCTGTAGACCTGGCCCTGGAGAGAGCCATGTTTTCCTGTGTGCTCCGCCCTCTGCGCTCACACCTGGAGAAGGCTCTGGTGACGCTGCACGACCAGGACGGCTCGAGCCAGCGCCTGTCCCAGAACATGGTGCGGCTGAAGGGGGACGGAGCCATGGCCAAGCTGGGGGTGCGCACTGGGGTCCCGGACAGCAGAGAGGTGGAGCGGCTCAGGCTGAAGCTGAGTGTGATGCACCGGACTCACTCGCCCATAGACAAAGTGCTGCTCCTTCTGCAGATCTGCAAATGTGTGCACAAGGCCATGGGGGTCCCGCACGGTGAGCGACCTGTGTGCAGCTGCTGGGCTCACCACCAGAAGTCTTTTTATTGCCATTGTGTGAAACAGGAAGTCCCAAACAAGGAGAAGTAAAAATAGAATAGTGCATGCACAAAAAGAAAACACAAATCTACAAAACATTTCTTAAAATAACTACTATGTACAAGAGCACTCTGTTCTGTGTTCTGCTGGTCCTCGTCTGCCTTAGTGTTCTGCTGGTCCTCGTCTGTCTTTAGTGTTCTGCTGGTCCTCGTCTGTCTTTAGTGTTCTGCTAGTCCTCGTCTGTCTTAGTGTTCTGCTAGTCCTCGTCTGTCTTTAGTGTTCTGCTAGTCCTCGTCTGTCTTTAGTGTTCTGCTGGTCCTCGTCTGTCTTTAGTGTTCTGCTGGTCCTCGTCTGTCTTTAGTGTTCTGCTGGTCCTCGTCTGTCTTTAGTGTTCTGCTGGTCCTCGTCTGTCTTAGTGTTCTGCTGGTCCTCGTCTGTCTTAGAGTTCTGCTAGTCCTCGTCTGTCTTTAGTGTTCTGCTGGTCCTCGTCTGTCTTTAGTGTTCTGCTGGTCCTCGTCTGTCTTTAGTGTTCTGCTGGTCCTTGTCTGTCTTTAGTGTTCTGCTAGTCCTCGTCTGTCTTAGTGTTCTGCTAGTCCTTGTCTGTCTTTGGTGTTCTGCTGGTCCTCGTCTGTCTTTAGTGTTCTGCTGGTCCTCGTCTGTCTTTAGTGTTCTGCTGGTCCTCGTCTGTCTTTAGTGTTCTGCTGGTCCTCGTCTGTCTTTAGTGTTCTGCTGGTCCTCGTCTGTCTTTAGTGTTCTGCTGGTCCTCGTCTGCCTTAGTGTTCTGCTAGTCCTCGTCTGTCTTTAGTGTTCTGCTGGTCCTCGTCTGTCTTTAGTGTTCTGCTGGTCCTTGTCTGTCTTTAGTGTTCTGCTAGTCCTCGTCTGTCTTAGTGTTCTGCTAGTCCTTGTCTGTCTTTGGTGTTCTGCTGGTCCTCGTCTGTCTTTAGTGTTCTGCTGGTCCTCGTCTGTCTTTAGTGTTCTGCTGGTCCTCGTCTGTCTTTAGTGTTCTGCTGGTCCTCGTCTGTCTTTAGTGTTCTGCTGGTCCTCGTCTGCCTTAGTGTTCTGCTAGTCCTCGTCTGTCTTTAGTGTTCTGCTGGTCCTCGTCTGTCTTTAGTGTTCTGCTGGTCCTTGTCTGTCTTTAGTGTTCTGCTAGTCCTCGTCTGTCTTAGTGTTCTGCTAGTCCTCGTCTGTCTTTAGTGTTCTGCTAGTCCACGTCTGTCTTTAGTGTTCTGCTGGTCCTCGTCTGCCTTTAGTGTTCTGCTGGTCCACGTCTGTCTTTAGTGTTCTGCTGGTCCTCGTCTGCCTTTAGTGTTCTGCTGGTCCACGTCTGTCTTTAGTGTTCTGCTGGTCCTCGTCTGTCTTTAGTGTTCTGCTGGTCCACGTCTGTCTTTAGTGTTCTGCTGGTCCTCGTCTGCCTTAGTGTTCTGCTGGTCCTCGTCTGCCTTAGTGTTCTGTTGGTCCTCGTCTGTCTTTAGTGTTCTGCTGGTCCTCGTCTGTCTTTAGTGTTCTGCTGGTCCTCGTCTGTCTTTAGTGTTCTGCTGGTCCACGTCTGCCTTAGTGTTCTGCTGGTCCACGTCTGTCTTTAGTGTTCTGCTGGTCCTCGTCTGTCTTTAGTGTTCTGCTGGTCCTCGTCTGTCTTTAGTGTTCTGCTGGTCCTCGTCTGTCTTTAGTGTTCTGCTGGTCCTCGTCTGTCTTTAGTGTTCTGCTGGTCCTCGTCTGTCTTTAGTGTTCTGCTGGTCCTCGTCTGTCTTTAGTGTTCTGCTGGTCCCCGTCTGTCTTAGTGTTCTGCTAGTCCTCGTCTGTCTTTAGTGTTCTGCTGGTCCTCGTCTGTCTTAGTGTTCTGCTGGTCCTCGTCTGTCTTTAGTGTTCTGCTGGTCCTGTGTTAGCTAACTGGCTACACACATGTTTTCTAATCAGATAAAGAACTTGTTGATCGGTGACTTTCTGCCAGGACAAGCAAATGAACTATTTATGAAAAAAGGTACCCCAGCTTTAATAATAACCAACCAATGTATATTTTCATATTTAGGTATTAACATTTGCTCCTGGTTTATATTTTTGGACTATGTGTCTTATATTGAAGAATAATGAAATAAGTTTGTGTTGTTGTGTAGTTTGTCCAATAAAGTCATTATTTAATTTGCTTAAATATATTTGATATATTTGTTGTTTTTAGGACAGGAAGTGATATATATTTGTTGTTTTCAGGACAGGAAGTGATATATATTTGTTGTTTTCAGGACAGGAAGTGATATATATTTGTTGTTTTCAGGACAGGAAGTGATATATATTTGTTGTTTTCAGGACAGGAAGTGATATATATTTGTTGTTTTCAGGACAGGAAGTGATATATATTTGTTGTTTTCAGGACAGGAAGTGATATATATTTGTTGTTTTCAGGACAGGAAGTGATATATATTTGTTGTTTTCAGGACAGGAAGTGAGCTGGGAGGACTTCCTGCCCTCGCTGTCATACGTCATTGTTGAATGTAACCGGCCTCAGCTCCTGCTGGACGTGGAGTTCATGATGGAGCTGCTGGAACCCTCGTGGCTCGGAGGAGAAGGTTCCACTTCATTCAATTTAATACTTCTTTATCTGAATCACAATCGTCTCTGAGGACTTTACAAAGTTGTCGATTTCTCAACAGATCAGAGAATCAAACACTTTAGGAGTCGTTGGTCCAAACTGTTTATAAATGTCCTAAATGTCCTTAGACCCTTCTGCATCAGCAGGAACGACTCATAAACCCAGTGGGAAAGTGAGAACCCTCGGGGAGCCCCAGAGAGGGGTCCGCTCCCACTCCCCAAAGCTTCACACCAGAGACCTCCATCTCCTCCTTTCAACCAATGTCATGACCCGTTTGTAACAGGCTTCAGGGCCCACAGCTTCTGGACACATCCTGGTTAAATGGTTAGACCAGGTTGATAAGTGCTGACAGAGATGTTTAAATGAGTGGGACATCTAACATTCCCCGCTCCAACAGAAAGAATTATGAACATGTTGTGAACAAATCAGACCCAAACCTGCACTCTTAATCTTTCTTAAAAGTCTTTTATCTTTTGCATTCCCTTTGAGTCACTATTTGATGCGTTGGGCTGAAAAAAGATTGCCTGAGTGAGGGCACTTTTTCACTTTTCTGTCTGAAAAAGTTACTTACGTAATACATGCATGTGGAAAGTATCGGTTTCAGGAGCTAGTAACATGGATTTCATTACATAGCTCTAGCTTTTGTTTGTTAAAAAAGAGGTTCTGCAACTTTAAAGTCTGCAGTAGAAAATGTTTTGGCTTCGAGAAGTTTAAGAAGTGACTCACCAAAGCCTCCCCGTTCACTGCTGTCCTTGTTGTTGCTGCTGCAGGGGGCTACTACCTGACGAGTGTGTTCTCCAGCATGTGCCTGATCCAGAGCTGGGACCGAGAGAGACCACAAGGGGGCTTCATGACGCCCCAGGCCCAGGAGGCGCTGCAGGAGTGGAGCAGCCGCCGCAGCAGAGAGGCCCAGAGGCACAAGGAGAACCAGCACAGCCAGGTGTTCACAGGCTTCACTTCCACGCTTTCATGCTGCATTCTGATCCACTGCATAATATCTGGGTTTGTTCAGTGTGATATCCAGAGGAGTGGACTAGACAAGTGCTGAAGTCGCTCATATCGTCTGCCTGATGTGGAAGAAGACGATTATAGACGATTATAGCGAGATCAGGCTTTAAGAGTCAGAATCTGGAGACAAATAACTTAGCAACAGCCTAGCAACCAAAGGGCCAATCAGGAGTGTGCTAGTCATTTCTGCATTCAAACTAAAGCCAAGAGGCTTGTTATCAGACATTATCGAGATTGAACCACCAGGAACATAGAGAGCCATAAAAACAAAAATGGTTTTTCGATGTAAGTGAATATGGCCAGAGCGAGTTGGGGCAAAACTTTGTCCAGGAGCACTTCCCCACTGGGCTGAGCTGGGTTAACATTGTCCTTCTTTATAAAGCAGTGGTCCCAGCCTGGCCCCGAGTGGACTTCAAACTTTAAAGTCAGCCCTCACTGAGAGTCTGTGCAAATATGGTTATACATCATTTTAAGGATGATTTGATCAAGAAAACATTTATTTTACCTTAATCATTGAACGCTGTTCTTCCAGTTTAGTTTCAATCCAAGCTGCTGCACAAGCTTATTTTATATTCATAGAAATATATTACAAATATTTAAAACATTTGGTCAAAATACTTTTATGATTTTAAAAACTCACACAATAAACTTTACAACTTTCCACATTTGCTGGATTCTTGGTTTTCCTGTTTTGTCTCTGTTTTGAGCCCAAACGTTTAATTTCTCTGATGTTAAAGAATGAGAAATGTCTGCGTGAGCACTGAACCTTAATGTGGCCCAGCTTCACCCAGACCCGACCCCATGCGGCCCCAGATAAACTGAGTTTGAGGCCCCTGATGTAAAGTCTATGGTTATATTATTTCTCACTTCCAAGTCAAAGCTGCAGCAACTAATCTTCTCAAAAATCAAACAAATAAATACAAATGAGAATAAGAGGTGACATTAGTGTCTTTAACCATGGCAGAAAAGGTTTCAACCCAGACTCAGGCTCCAAGATGACGACCAAATCTGGGCTCTTTTTTGTCGGCCGCCACAAAAATATGCTGCAGACTCTTTCTAGAGTTTTGGCTCGTTCCGGTCCTCTCCATGTGAAGAAGGTGTAGATGATGGTGAGGTCCACGGGAGCGTTCTGACCCATCAGCACCGGATAATTACACTGAAGTGTTTTAAAGGGAAAGAAATCCTGACAAAATCCCACCTTCGCTGTGAGCTCACCAGAAGTGGTTTTTAATGTGTCTTTGGTTTAAAGCAGTAAAAGACAAACAGAATAAGGAGCAAAATGATAAGACATGAAACAAATTGAGTGAATGTCAGAACTACAAATGTTGGTTTGAGAATGGTACAGTAAGTGAGTAATGTTTATTTATATAGCACATGTTACAGACCAAGGTACAGACCCAAAGCACTTTCCAATGTTCAGAGTCAGATATTGTTCCAATCCTTCCACACACGGTGATGACAGAAGCGAGTCCAGAACACACTGGACCATCAGCTCCAACACCATCCATTCACTCTCTCATTTACATTCAGACCTATTGTGCATGTTTTTAGTGGTTTTAATGTGTCTGACCTTCACATGTTTGACTTTAATCTGAAAAGCTGACCCTAACCTTTCCCATTAGAAAGCTTTGTAAAATGATGCTGTATTCATCTTAATTAGATACTCTCCAAACGAGTAAGACAGAGAGACCTGAACTGGGAAAACATTTGGACATTACTTTCAAAATTCTTCTTTCTTTAGAGTTGTATTGGCACCTGTCCATCAACACAACCCTACAGCATGAACTCACCTGCACCCCAAAAGAAGCACATTATGTCCAGTTTAAATACACACTAATTGCAATCAGACTCAGTTAGAAATTCCCCGAAATCTTCCATCCCTATTGTCATCTGCTCGCTTGGTCACGTGGTGTGCCTCTCTTGGCTTCAAATAGCCGATGTAACTCGCCCGCCAGCCAGATTTTTCCTCTGACACAGGCGAGGATCAGCGAGCCAAGTGCTATGAAGAAGTGGGCGGTCAGATAACATGAAATTTATTGAGCTGCAACTACTAACCGAAACAGGCAATCGCAATATGCACACGGACAGCGCGGACATTGGTGACTCTGTAAGTTCACGCTCTGAGATTCCTGTTGATAAGTCTTTTGTAGTTTTCATATTTTCTGTATCTTTTTCTGAGTTGGTAAAAGTGAACTGATAGTTGCTTGTAATGTGTGTAATCCGTTTGACACCTGTTTTCTCACCGCTTCCTTGGTCTACGAGTCAGTTTTGGTCGTGTTAAATCTGTATATCGTTGGCTTTAGTGTTGCCGCTGTTACATAAGGGATGAAAGCAATTACCGCTAAGTGGTTTCAAGAGTCCTATTTACAATTTTAGCAGCGTTTTGCATGTTCCAACTTTGCATTTGCGGGTGTGGGTAAACTTTAGCTGCAATGTAAGCCATTTGAATGCACTGTTTGAATACATTTATGTTGATTATCAAAGCCAACGCGTGAAATGAGCATAACCAGAAAGGTGCAGGAGGGAGAGAGAGTGTGTGGGCAGATGGAGCTTTGTTTTCCACTGGAGATCTTTGACATTACCAACGTCATTTATTATTATTATGGAGAACCTCTCTCTCTCTCTCTCTCTCCCACCCCCATCTTCTGCCCTCGCTCCATCACTTTTGTGACCTGCGATTCACACAAACATGTAAATATTGGCAGTCTTAGAGGAATAACTATTATGTGCTGGGTACAGCAGCTTATACAAAAGTGGTAGTTTAACCTCCAATTAAATATTATATTTAAATTGTAGTAATCAGCAAGTTGGGGACAATCCCCCTGATGGATCGAAAATAAGCTGATAAAATGGGCTGAAAACAATAAGATTAATTATCAGATTTGTAAAAAGAGCTATTCATTTTTGTACTTATGATTTATTTCCTCAAAAGCTTGTGCGGCAGCTTTGGGTGATGAGCACCAGGGATGACCGCCAGGGGGCCCTGATGACCACCAGGGGGCCCTGATGACCGCCAGGGGGCCCTGGACCCCACTTTGTCATTTACACACAAAGCTGTTTCATGTTTGAAAGATTGAAATCCTCATGAACGCTCGTCCTCTGACCACTGCCATCTCTCTCCTCAGGTTTCACTTCCTTTGCCATTTTACTTTTTTAAATCTGTGATGTGTGGAGTATTCACACACTTCACACAATATTTTTGCTTGAAAGTGAAAATACAATCACATTGTAAATTCTGATTATGTTTCACTATTGCTCCGTTAAAGGGGTGGGGCTTAGAGACATGTTCAATATCGATTTCGATATTCATATTATCATATTTGGATTGAATTGGGTTTTGTATTTTTACAATAAAATCATATGTAGGTAAAAAAATAAAAATAATTATATATACAGTGAAGCATTCCACTCATAGTAACGTATTTATCAAAACAAGAAGGTCGTAGAAAATGCACCTTTTAAGTAGAATAAATCGATCAAGTGATGTCCGTGTATACATGTGGGACCATGTGGGACCATGTGGGACCATGTGGCCCATTCTCACATGACATTTCCTGGTCCTTTGTGAGAGTGCGATGACAGCAGAGTCATCAGAGAGACGTGTTGTGTATGAAGCCTACAGTGTATGAAGGGAAGAGCCCCCACACCCTGACCCCTAACCCCTGAGAGTTCATCTTCATGGCAAGGTTAATAACTAAATATTTTTCTCCTTTTAGTTACAATGTGAAACGAATACATGCCACAATGATTTCCCAAACAGGTGCACCAGAAAATCAGTGCAAAATTCTCCAATGTCGTGGGAAATTAGCTTAATACAGACCTAGCTGCTGGAACCTTGCCCCAAATGTTGAAAACTCACGGGTTTGCAACATTTTTCAACTTTGTGTTACAAATGACCCCTTCAATGACGTGAAACTGTGAAACAATATTCAGCTGTTGAGAGGTTCCATCTCACCAAAGTATTCAAGCTATGGCTGACAGCTGTCTGTGCTTCGCAGAGGTGTGTTCGGATACTCTTCCAGGACGGGGATCGGAGCGCAGTGCGGACCTTACAGTGGCGGGCGGGGGAGACGAGCCAGGCGCTGGCCCAGCTCTGCGCTTCCACTTTTGAGGTGTCCGACCCTCAGCAGTACACCCTGTTCTGGAGGAGTGGAGGCGAGATGAGAGCCCTGCCGCCCCAGGCCCAGCCACAGGACCTGGCCAGCCACAGCGAGGGCGGGCCGTCTCTGTCCTACCTGCGCACTGACCACGACTTCAGCAAGATGCGCCGGCTCACCAGAGGGGGCGCTGTGGACCTGAGCGAATCTGTGTGTGAGGAGTGAAGGCCACAACATCATTTTACTTTCCTTTTCTGAATCCAGTCTGCATCTTTGGGCTAAACTTTTGAAACTCAAGCGCCGTGGATCAAGCTCTTTAGACTGACGCCAAAACTCGTGGCTGCTTTTGTACAGGGCTCTATTCACTGTTTGTGACCTGGAAATGTGTATTCGCTGGTTTATGGTTGTGGCTTGAACCCAGGCGGATCCACGGAAAAGATTACATCACTAAAAATGGACACGGCTCCGGTCCAAAGACGGTTCCTGTTGCGAGACTGTTGCCTGGAGACAGAATCTACTTCCTGCCCGCCTCATGAAATGGCTGAAGCCGTGTGTGATGTAACCCTCTCTCTGCATACCTCCTTTTGATCTATAATAACCTTGTTTTATTTTATTTATTTATTTGTCTGGATACTTTTGGATAATGTTGACAGAGCCAACTAACCCTAATGTGCCCGTTGGAGTTAAGCAAAGTGTTGTGCCAAAGTCCTTAAATGGATCACATGAAAGAGTTCTATGTTTACACGAGACAATTCCAAATATTACTTACAGGTATTTACAAGGACCAGAGTATCTCCATAATGATTGACCATTGGGAGGACCAGTAGTCTTGATGATCCACCAGGGAGTAGAAAATCCTCCCATAAACCTTTAAGATTTCAACCCAATTAATGTTTGATTTTTTAAGTCTTCACTGTTTCAAGCCTCTATTGAAACAGCTGCAAAGCCACTTGGATTGTCCAGACGAGTCAGCAGCACACGTCCTGTTTCTCACCCAATAAAACTATTTAGATGCAGATCTCACTCTCAGCTACATGGAAATCAAAATCTGATAAATGGATTTCATATGAGGATTTTATACTGTGAAAAGTTAAAGGTTCATTGAAATTCTCTGGATGAGCTTCAAGAGGACCTGAAATGGTCTCCAACAGTCTCGAAGGAGTTCCCATGATGCTTAGCACTTGTTGGCCCCTTCACTCTGTGGTCCAGCCCCAAAACCATCTGGACTGGGTTCAGGTCCAAAACCATCTGGACTGGGTTCAGGTCCAAAACCATCTGGACTGGGTTCAGGTCCGGTCTCTCTCCTTATTGGTCAAACAGCCCTTACACAGCCTGGTGCGGGTCTACAGCAATAGTCATGAAAAGAACTCAGTGAAGGAGAGAGGGTGTCCACACTTCTGCTCTGTGCTGTATGTATAGTTCAAGCAACACAGCAGGGTTAGAAAACCAGAACAAAAATCTAATGAGTATAATAATATTAATGCATTGGTTTTGTATAGTGCTTTTTTGGACACTCAAAGACGCTTCACATGGCAATATTCATTCGCTCCATACACGGTGGTGATAAACTACTGTAGCCACAGCTGCCCTGGGGCACACTGACAGAAGCGAGGCAACCAGTCTGTGCCATCGGCCCCTCCCACCACCACCAACCATTCACACACACACCAGACTCATTCTAGGCAGGGACCCCACTGTGGCCCCTGAGAGAGGTCTCCCATCATAGCACTAACCAGGCCCTGCCCTCTGTACCCTGCCTATTGAGTTCTTTTTAGTCATTAGACCAACAACAAGAATGAGAGAAAGAAAAGCTGTGGGTTGTCCTTGTGTTAGGGTCCAGAAAGAGCGGCCATCACCGTGAAGACCCCGGGCTGCACAGGCCATGTGCGGCGCCGTCACGTGTAACAATGTTACTTTACAATAACAGTTGATTATTATGATTCATTCATACAGTAAGATCTTCAAAGCACCCTAGACTTTTGAGAAAAACATGAAAGAAATGACCAAAGTGGTGGATGTAAAGTGGCCGTGACACAGCGCCTGTTAGCTCAGCAGAGAAGTTTAAATCGCTCAAAAGGAAGTTTATTTTGATCCGTCTCCCACACAGATGAGTTTATTTTTACTTTGCCCTGCCTCCCACCTGCCTGAGTATTAAGTGCTGTTGGCAGGTGCACTAATGGGAGAGTAGGCGGCAGCGACAGAAGAGCAACAGCCTCTTTCACTTCAAACTAAGACAACCTGGATTTGTGAATGACTTGTGAATGTAAACTAATGTATTATTTCTGTGTCAAGAGTTTAATCCTTAGAACATGTGTTGAACAAGTGTGATACTGTGGAAAAGTCTTTGACAGATTTAGATTAGAAAATGGAGCATAGAGACTCTGATTTAACCTGCAGTGGAGGAAGCGGCTCACGTGAGCCAGAAGAAACCCGAGCTGATGTGGTTAGTGTAGTGGGATTTCTTAAGAAAGTTGGTGATTTTGGAAAGATGTTGAACAGATTGTCGTCCGGAGGCAGTGATGTCGATAATCTGATGAGATTATGTATTTTCTCAGTCCTTGTGTAGGATAGTGGTAGTGTGATAATCCAGTTTGGTTTGGTGTGGATGACATCTCTGTCGACGCTGAATGATCAGTGGCTTTAATAAGATTCCATAACTAGTTAATACTTGGTTCCATTTGGAAAAAGAAAACCTCTGATCAACTGTTTGTTTGAATTCACTCTTACATTGAAAGTGATTCAATACAAAAACCGGTTTCCAGCCAAACTGAATTATTTCTAACAAATCCCTGATCTGTGGAAGACTTTTGTGCTGCTCTGTATTTGTATCGGACCACTGACCCAGGGCCTCGGCTCTGGGTCCGATCGGACCACAGACCCAGGGCCTCGGCTCTGGGTCCGATCGGACCACTGACCCAGGGCCTCGGCTCTGGGTCCGATCAGACCACAGACCCAGGGCCTCGGCTCGGGCTGAATGTACATGAATAACACCACTTTTCTGGTGTCTCCTGCTGCAACTCCTCAGATCCACTGTTTCCTGTTTCATCAAAGACCGCGCTGCAAAAACTTGATATCAAGACTTGGTTAAAATGACTTGATTTTTGTTTGCCCTGTTTTTAGTGCAATAGTGACACATCTCTGTATCGCAGATGTTTCCTTATGGTCAACATCATCATTACGGCAGACAACTTATTTTTAAGATAAAACTGGCTCAAAATTCAATGTTATTTCCGTCAACACTAAATAAAGATATTTTTGTTGCTCGTTGAAAACAGTTTTAAAAGCCTGATTTTAACATAGCATATTTCTACTTAATTTTCTCCTTAACCTCTCACTTGCCTCTACCCTCCATTTAATATAATTTCATTGATATTTCATTGAGGACATTATTTGATCTGGATTCCCAGTGCATTTTGGGAGAGGTGCATCCTGGTCCACTCGCCTGAGATAACTGGCGTTGAAACCGTTCTGTGACGTCACGAGGAATGCTAAGTCCACTTACCCATGAATGTGAAAATGTTAGATCAGTATGGGCTGTATTCTTTTTTCAATCCAGATAGTCAAATATTTAGCGTTGTTTTTTAAAGTATTGGAGAGAGGTGAATGCCAAAAACAGTGGACCAAACACTGAACCTTGGGGTACACCCGGGCCTCCTGTCTTTCTTCTCTTCGTAAATAAACCAAAGAGAAACCAACCCCCACAACAGGAAGTATTGCCACGAAACCATGGGTTAGAAAGAGCTGGAAGAAAAACTTTATCACATTTAAAATCTACAATTATGGCACACAGCCTATTTCAAGTGATTTTAACTGTTGCCTCAGTATTTGGTTTTGCAGTGCGTAGTGTATTTAAACTACTTGGACTTGTTGCATTTGTTTGCTAAGTATCAAATCCCAGAATGATTGGTGTTCTGAGGCTGCAGACTGTGGCCTGCTGTAATGTTTTGAAGGAAATTGCATGCTTTCTCATTGACGTGAAGGTTCTGCGAGTGTGCGTGAAGCATGTGTTTCTTGTGAGAGCTCACTATTTTTCAGTGTAAAAAGACATGAGTGTATTTTGTCAGGCTGCTCAGTATCGCAATAAAGACTATTGCTGCATCTGCGAGACGCTGCCCTTCATTTATGTGATGTCGGTGTTTTATACCATCTGTAAAAACATGTGTCTCAGCAGGTGCTTGGACTCTATGGCATCAAGGCAAACTAATATATATATGTTTTTGAGAGAAAAATAAAACAATGCTTGAATGAATGTTGAAAAAGATGTGAAATGTTCATTCAGTTTTGGGTTATTTTCTATTTTAATTGCTTTTTATACTGTATGTGAATTGGGTTAACGCGAACCCATGGAAGATAATGGCATCCAAATAAACAGAAATAAAAGGTTTTTTATTATGAAGTGATCGTTTAAAAGTCCCACAGGGAAAGTTTCAGAGCAGTCGGGATTAGAAGCACAAGACAATATGCATTATTATTATTATATAGCATAACTCTAAGATAAATAAATACATCTTAATCTACAGACTTGGTTTAGTTTGGAAATAGAGATAATTATTGAATTCTTTATTCATATGTAATTGTGGTACGCAGAATACTTCCTACTCATAATCTCAATCACATTATTATTATTATTATTATTATTCTGAAAGCTACATTTAAACATATGTTGTAAAATCATCTAAAGGTGGAGTCCTGTGTTCATGAAAGAAATGAGACAATGATCCTTTAATATTTTATGTTTTGCGTTAACATCATTGTGCAATGCTAAAAGCAGATTTATAATTCAGTAAGAAAGAGTTTAAAGTTTGTAATCTTTTCTTGCTCCACTCATTCAGTAAATTCCCTTTGTCTCCGTGGGCTGAGGATCTGCTGAAGGAACTGCTCTGAACCGTCCCCGTTCAGCCAATCATGAATAAAAGAGAATTCATACAAATACAATGCTCACTGCCCTCGGTAACTTGTGAAATAAACAAAACATTTGAAGAAAAAATGGGAGAGGAAATACAGAATAATGTCAGATACTTTATTTTAAAAACATAATAAAATCTCTGTCAAATCTGAAGAAGTAAGATCTGAAAGTGAGCCCATGTATCGTTGGAATGCTGTTCTGTTCCAGAGTACACGACATACTCCAGGAATCAATAAGATATTCTTCAGCCTCTTCATTCGTTACTGAAATTAAAAATCCATGATCCCAACGTTCGGCCAAATGAGTAAAGTATTTTTATTTTCCATATATAAGAATTCAATCTAATTCCCATGAAGTAATATTATAAGTATATTATTCATACATTTGGATCAACTAAATAATGTTTAAAATGCACAGGATCAAAGCAAACCTTACATTTGTCGTTGAATTGGGACTTTTTGATTAAAACTACAGTAAATACATTTGTAAAACTGTAGAAAAGACAAATGCTGTTTTTAACCTCGTCCAGTGCCGGGTTTTTAGCGGTTTTTGTTCCATGACTTTTCCAACAAACCCAAACGTGACGTGTGAAAAAAGCCATATTTGTGTTTTTATCTGATGTTTCCTCCGAGTTTGTGCAGCACGGCCACGCCCTTCTCCTCGTACTCCTGTCGGTTCAGCCAAAAGGAGTCTTTGTCTTTCATGATGTTGGCCAGAACCGCTCCGCCCATGAACACCATGTGCTTTCTGCGCGGGGGGTCCTCAATGCGGATCTTAAACTTCTACAAACAGAAAAGACAAATACTCAAGAACATCCAATCCACCTCAAAATAACAGTTAAACTAAACAATAAAAGATCCATCAAACATACAAAAGCATAAAAATGACTTTAAACACTCTTAGATGTTATCGTCCAATTAAAGTAAATGTGACTTTTGAAAGTGTGAAGAGAAAGTTTTTAATCTTCCGTCGCACACAACCAACTTCCTGATTGAAACTTAAGTGTTCCGCTCCAATAAATCTGACTGGCCCTAGTTCTGTGAAGGACTTAAGGAATGAAAAATATGAAAGATCACATTTAAATGCATTCGTTTCTCTGAATGTGCAGTGAAGGTGTTTTGTGTGTTTGAGGAAAGAGAAGAAACTTGTTCATTAAACTAAACTAAAATACAATACTTCATCATAGGAGCAGCTTTAAAGTAACATTAGTATTACTGGGACGGCAGACGGTAATTTAACTGTTATGAGCTGTCTTCAGGATTGCTAATGACTTTTATAATTACATCAGTTATAATCGACAATTTCCAGATAGAGGGATGTTTTTGATGCTTTTTACAAACTTATATTTACCAAATCAAACTTCTTAGTGATTCGTTTCAGTTTTTCATATTGGCTTAAAACGACTGGATCCTCACACCTGCTACACAAGTCTTTCTCTGATGGAAAATGACTGATGTGTGTCTGTGTGTGTGTCTGTGTGTGTGTGTGTGTGTGTCTGTGTGTGTGTGTGTGTCTGTGTCTGTCTGTGTGTGTGTCTGTGTGTGTACATGTATCTGTGTGTGTGTGTATGAGTGTCTTTCTGTGTGTGTGTATGAGTGTGTGTGTGTGTGTCTGTGTGTGTTTGTGTCTGTGTGTGTGTGTGTGTGTCTGTGTGTGTACATGTATCTGTGTGTGTGTGTGTGTGTGTGTGTGTGTGTGTGTACATGTATCTGTGTGTGTGTGTCTGTGTGTGTACATGTATCTGTGTGTGGTGTGTGTATACTGTTGTGTTACCAATAGTTTCTCAGTGTCTCCGTTCAGGACTCGCTCCAGGTAAAGCTGTTTAATCTCTCGCTCCAGTCGAGAGGGGAGTCCTGGGTACATGGTGGTCCCTCCAGACAACACAATGTGCTTATAGAAGTCTGATCTGTGGGAAAGAAGAAGAATGAAAGTCAGAACAGACAGGATTCAGACACACAGTGTGAAAACAGTTCATTAGTTATGTTCGGCCACACTTTCTCTAATCAAACAGATCTATCCTCGTGTTGTCATGAAACGTGGAGCACGGGCGAGACGTCTGCTGCATGTCCACGTCTGCGCTGTGGGACTAATAAAGAATCATTCATTGATAAAGTTGCTGCTTAAAGAGGCTTTTAGATCAGACAGGAAATCCAGACACAGTAAAAATGGACAGAATCAGCTAAATACTGTTTGTTCAGATGATTCTAGACTTTAGCTCGAGTGCAGATAAGAGTCCAGAAATCCTGCAGACGAGGATTCGGATCACCTCCGAAATGTAATCACTTCCTGTTCATGTTTCCTGAAATGAAGTCCAAATCCTCCCATAACTTTAATGTTCACAGACAAACAGGCAAGTGCAGGTAAATAACACGAACACAAGCTTTACCAGTCTGTGAAAACAAGCTGCACTTTTGGTCCTGTTTTGGTTCAGGCCGATACTCATTTTGTTCAGAAGAGAGAAGAGAATTTAAATTGAAGTTAAATTATATGACTAATATGGTCATAAATACCTGAGGTTCTCCAAAAAGATGTGTGAAATGAACTTGCAACCCTCACTGCTGAGGGTCTTTCAAAGTAGAAATTGTCAAAATGCTAAATCCATGAGGAGGAGTCTTGGGCTAATGGCGGAGTAGCAGCTCTCAGCTTGGGCTCCCGCAGCTCGGTATCTATTTCTGTTTATTTAACTTTGAAGACCACGACAAAACTCGTGCCAATCTGCTCGTGAAGATGCAAAGACAGAGGAAGATCACTAATATGGGGGTGAAATCTGGAAAACAAGGAGAAAACAATGTTTCCACGCCTGCCGCTGCTAACAGTGAAGGAGTAATGGCGGACCCCACGCCACCACCTGTTCTTGCGCCAGTACAGCCGGTCCAGCCTCTGGACGTTGATAGTCTGGTGGAAAGGATCACCGCAGAGGTATTGAAAGCTTTGGAGGCCTCATTGGATAAAAAAATGGACCCTGTCCTACTAAAATTGCAAACGTGCACGTCTGACATTGCCTCGCTAGACACAAGAGTCTCCGGTGCAGAGCAGCGCATATCCGCGCAGGAAGACGTGACTGAGAGCCATGATGCTAAACTTTCTGAGATGGAGCTGAAACTGGAGGCCGCACTTGAGAAGATTGATGATTTGGAAAATAGGGGCAGGCGCTGTAATCTTAGGATTGTTGGCCTTGAAGAAGGCAGCGAGGGTACAAACCCAGTGTCCTTTTTTAAGTCATGGCTGCCTGCGCTTGTCGGTGAGAGTGATAATTTCAAAGGAGGCGTTGTTAAGATTGACCGCTGCCACCGCGCTCTCACCCGTCGTCCTCCCGCAGGACAAAGACCACGAGCGGTCATCATGAAGCTCCACAACTTCCAAGATAAGGTCCGGATCATGCAAGCGGCCCGGAGGCTGAAGACCCTGAGTTACAAAGGTGCCTCCGTGATGATATTTGAGGATTTCTCTGCCGCTGTGGTGAAAAAGCGACAAGAATGTACCGCAGTCAAGCGACGATGCAGAGAGCAGGGTATTGTATTTGCTATGCTGTATCCAGCTGTTTTGAGAATCAGACATCGCGGGGAGGAAAAGCTCTTCAGGCACCCGGCGGATGCAACCGGCTTTCTGGACGGGCTGATCGGTGTGAGGATGCCATCACCAGCCTCTTCTTAATCCTATACATACGCAGTTTGCTGCTGGATATGGCAGCTTTGGCTACCAATATGACGTATAGAGTGGTAAGATTTTAATGTCTCAGAACTGGCATGTTGCCACAAAAAGCCCTGGTCTTCTTAGTTGTTTTTTTTTTCTTTTTTTAACTTTTGTTTTGTTCTTACGGTATATATTGGAATTCATAAAGAGCTGTGGGCCCAATAGCAACTGAATACAAATGATACCATGGCCCTGCATCTCTCTCGGTGTCCCCAGGGAAGATAGCTGGCGCCCCCTGTTGGGCGTTTTAGGCCGTTGTCTGACTCCTTTTGTTTTTGTTTTTCTACAAATGTTTTTTGTAAGAAGTTTTTGGTTCCATGTTAGCAAAGCAGAGCATTTATTTTTTTCTAAGTTTCTACTCTTTTTGTATATCTTTGTGTACTATTTGGAGGTCTTAAAATTGACAATATTGTTCGGATCCACTTGGCTATTTGTCTGTAAATTGATATGACCAGTACTGGTTCAGCTCTGAAGATCTGCAGCTGGAATGTTGGTGGTATACATAGTCCTATCAAGCGTAAAAAATTATAAGTTTTCTGAAAAAGGAAGGTATACACGTGGCTCTCTTGCAGGAGACCCACTTAACTACTGAAGAACATTTAAAATTAAAACGTGACTGGGTTGGACAGGTGTTTAGCTCCTCCTTTACGAGTAAGAGTCGTGGTGTTGCCATCCTGGTGCATAAACACTTGCCTCTAATTGATACACAAATTATATGTGACAAATCGGGCAGATATCTGCTTTTAAAGGGAACACTCCATGGTAAACATGTTCCTTTTCTGAATATTTTTTATCCACCCGTCCAATCAGTTGATTTCATTACTCAAGTTTTCTCCTCATTCTCGGAGTGGGTTTGTGACAATTCTGTTATTGCGGGGGATTTTAACTGTTACTTCTCCTCTGTACTGGACAAATCTCCCTCAACTCAAATTACAATGTCAAGGAGGGCTAAGGCCCTCATGGATACATGTAATGAGCTTGACTTCGTAGATACGTGGCGTGTTCTACATCCCAAGGATAAAGAATTCACTTTTTTCTCTGGTGTACATAAGTCTAGTTCGAGAATTGATTACATTTTTACCCCTAAGTGCTCAATAGACAATATCATAAGCTGCAGTATTGGTGATATAATCATTTCGGACCATGCTCCTATTTTTGTCCAGCTGGGGAATCTAAACCCCATCCCCCGTAATCTGAATTGGAGATTCAATAATTTCTTGATCCATGACCCAAAATTTGAAAAATATTTAAATGAAGAATTGATGGAATTTTTAAGACACAATAAGACCCCTGATGTCTCTCCTGGTTTACTCTGGGATACATTAGTTTTTCTCAGTCGCTTTGGTGCATTTCTCACATCATTCTTCACATTTGCACAACTGTTGGTGCATTTCTCAGAACAATTAGTGTAAACTGCAGAACCTCGTGGATAACCTGCAAAAGTGCGTCACTTTCTCAAAATGAAAAGTTTTTTCCTCAAAAGCAAGTCCAAACGTTAATGAAACTGTCTATGTCGTCAAAATAATATGTCCTAACAACATTGAGTATGAACATCACAGTCAAATGACTTAGTCATGTTTTCATTGTGAAAGTTTACTCTCTGTGTTTTCAGTGTAAAAAAGTCAGATCTCGGTGACACTTGAGCACGACACACTATACACGACCTGTGCAGCCATTTACAGTAAAAACTACAGTTAAGTTACACAAAGACTGTATTTAGAGACGTAACTGACATATATGTATGTATGTACTGTATGTATGTGTGTGTGTGTATCTATGTATGTATGTACTGTATGTATGTGTGTATGTATGTATGTACTGTATGTATGTGTGTACTGTATGTATGTGTACTGTATGTAGAGGTCCCTGTATGGACCTTCGTCATCTTCATGCTGCGTAGTCGTAACGCAGAAACAAAGTTTCCTATCATAACTATGCAGACGACACTCAGATCTATGTCTCACTGACTGCAGGAGAACATGGACCAGTGGACTCACTCCTTCACTGTATCCAACAGATCAGTGAGTGGATGCAAAACAACTTCCTTCAGCTAAACGCAGACAAAACTGAAATGATTGTCTTTGGTCCCCAGAAACAAAGAGAGAGCGTCATCTGTCATCTACAGTCTCTCTCCCTAAAACCTTCAAACAAGGTCAGAAATCTAGGGGTAATACTGGACTCAGACTTAAATTTTAATAGCCACATCAAATCAGTAACATCAGCAGCTTTTTACCATCTAAAAAACATTTCCAGGATCAAAAACATAGTGTCTAAAGCAGACTTGGAGATTCTTATCCATGCATTTGTCTCCAGTAGGTTAGACTACTGCAATGGCCTGCTCACAGGTCTGTCCAAACAGGCTGTAAAACAGCTGCAGTACATTCAAAATGCAGCAGCTCCAGTCCTGACTAGAACCAGGAAGTACGACCACATTAGTCCTGACTAGAACCAGGAAGTACGACCACATTAGTCCTGACTAGAACCAGGAAGTACGACCACACATTAGTCCTGACAAGAACCAGGAAGTACGACCACATTAGTCCTGACTAGAACCAGGAAGTACGACCATATTAGTCCTGACTAGAACCAGGAAGTACGACCACATTAGTCCTGACTAGAACCAGGAAGTACGACCACATTAGTCCTGACTAGAACCAGGAAGTACGACCACATTAGTCCTGACTAGAACCAGGAAGTACGACCACATTAGTCCTGACTAGAACCAGGAAGTACGACCACATTAGTCCTGACTAGAACCAGGAAGTACGACCACATTAGTCCTGACTAGAACCAGGAAGTACGACCACATTAGTCCTGACTAGAACCAGGAAGTACGACCACATTAGTCCTGACTAGAACCAGGAAGTACGACCACATTAGTCCTGACTAGAACCAGGAAGTATGACCACATTAGTCCTGACTAGAACCAGGAAGTACGACCATATTAGTCCAGTCCTCAGGTCTCTGCACTGGCTTCCTGTGGCTCAGAGAATAGACTTTAAAACAGCTTTGCTTGTTACAAGTCTCTCCATGGCCTCGCACCAAAATATATTAGTGACATGTTAGTCCCATATGAACCAGCCCGGACTCTGAGGAGCACAGGGACTGGACTCCTGCTGGGACTCTGAGGAGCACAGGGACTGGACTCCTGCTGGGACTCTGAGGAGCACAGGGACTGGACTCCTGCTGGGACTCTGAGGAGCACAGGGACTGGACTCCTGCTGGGACTCTGAGGAGCACAGGGACTGGACTCCTGCTGGGACTCTGAGGAGCACAGGGACTGGACTCCTGCTGGGACTCTGAGGAGCACAGGAACTCGACTCCTGCTGGGACTCTGAGGAGCACAGGGACTGGACTCCTGCTGGGACTCTGAGGAGCACAGGGACTGGACTCCTGCTGGGACTCTGAGGAGCACAGGGACTGGACTCCTGCTGGGACTCTGAGGAGCACAGGGACTGGACTCCTGCTGGGACTCTGAGGAGCACAGGGACTGGACTCCTGCTGGGACTCTGAGGAGCACAGGGACTGGACTCCTGCTGGGACTCTGAGGAGCACAGGGACTGGACTCCTGCTGGGACTCTGAGGAGCACAGGGACTGGCCTCCTGCTGGGACTCTGAGGAGCACAGGGACTGGCCTCCTGCTGGGACTCTGAGGAGCACAGGGACTGGACTCCTGCTGGGACTCTGAGGAGCACAGGGACTGGACTCCTGCTGGGACTCTGAGGAGCACAGGGACTGGACTCCTGCTGGGACTCTGAGGAGCACAGGGACTGGCCTCCTGCTGGGACTCTGAGGAGCACAGGGACTGGCCTCCTGCTGGGACTCTGAGGAGCACAGGGACTGGACTCCTGCTGGGACTCTGAGGAGCACAGGGACTGGACTCCTGCTGGGACTCTGAGGAGCACAGGGACTGGACTCCTGCTGGGACTCTGAGGAGCACAGGGACTGGACTCCTGCTGGGACTCTGAGGAGCACAGGGACTGGACTCTTGCTGGGACTCTGAGGAGCACAGGGACTGGACTCCTGCTGGGACTCTGAGGAGCACAGGGACTGGACTCCTGCTGGGACTCTGAGGAGCACAGGGACTGGACTCCTGCTGGGACTCTGAGGAGCACAGGGACTGGCCTCCTGCTGGGACTCTGAGGAGCACAGGGACTGGACTCCTGCTGGGACTCTGAGGAGTACAGGGACTGGACTCCTGCTGGGACTCTGAGGAGCACAGGGACTGGACTCCTGCTGGGACTCTGAGGAGCACAGGGACTGGACTCCTGTTAGTGCCCAGAGTCAGAACTAAACATGGGGAGGCTGCTTTTCAGATTCATGCTGCTAAAATCTGGAACAGTCTTCCTGAAGATGTGAGACAGGCCTCCTCTCTGACTATGTTTAAAACCAGGTTAAAGACAGTTCTGTTTAGCTGTGCTACAACTGAGGGATTTTATATTTTTATCTTTCTTTTTAATGTTCTGTGATTATTTATGATTTTAATGCTTTCTTGTTTTGTTCAGCACTTTGAATTGCCTTGTGTATGAATTGTGCTATACAAATAAACTTGCCTTGCCTTGCCTTGCCTTATGTATGTGTGTATCTGTGTGTGTGTGTGTGTGTGGGGTGTGTGGTGTGTGGTGTGTATCTATGTACTGTATGTGTACTGCATATGCTCTTTGTATTTTTGTTGCACAATGCTGCAGAAGTGCAGACACATACATGTATATACATAGAACAAACATACAGAAATATCATTATGGTATAACTGTGACAAAAATAAACAATAAAGCACACCTCAGAGTGAAGCTGAAATTCACCTGAGATCAAATTGTTCAATTTAGGAAATATTTACAGGAAAAAAAAGATAAAGGAATGTATGAAATTAGCTTGACAGTTATGATTTTGAGAACTAGTTCAACAATTGTGTATGTAATGACCAAAGCAATGAAATGAGGACAGTTAGTTTTATAGTGAAA